TAGTGATAGTAAAAAAAAAAATTTATTAATTAATTATTCAATTGTTCGAGCTGATTCAGAAGTCAAATATATTGCAACTATGAAGGTAGAACCAGCTAATATTCAAAAGGAGCTAGGGTGTCCAATGTATAAAGGTATAGCAATGGAACTAGAATGTTGAAGTATTACAGAGGATTCGAAAGAATAAAGGGTGCTCATGTCGGAACATGTTGGTTCAGACGGAATCAAGAAAACCCACGGGGCGTTAGAAGTAGAGTTTAATTGCTAATATGAAGCCAGAGTGGTGAAGATAAAGTTAATTCAACATGATCAAATGATCTATTATCTCAAAAAAAACAAAACAAAAAAAAACAAAAAAAAATATAATATAGATGGTTAGTGTTGGAGGCTTATTGGGTCTTTAGTCAAAGTGGGGGATATGTAATGTATTCATATGCATTTTAGAATTAAATGAATATTACAGTTATAATTAGATATAAACATTATTATCTATAGCTAAAGTAGCTCCATCTACATTACAGTAAAATTTTTTTTTTTTTTTTTTTTTTAAAGTGAAGATAATTAAAAGCAAATGCTTTAAAATATGTTGATATAGCTATAACCAGTAAGTTGAAGACATTGTTGGAATTCTGTTTTTGGTGTAAAACTGTTGACCATTCTGCTAAAGAAAGAGGTTTACCGTCTTTATTTTTAATGGATTTCAACCCGTCTAGTAGTCCTTTTTTAACTTTTATTTGTATCCAATCATTGTAGTTTTTTAGTAGATAATCTGAAGTTATCGCTTTAGTTGATATTTGATGTTTCCAACTGTGTTGATATTCTGATTCTATTTTATTAGTTTCAATTCTATTGATTATTTGATTTATCATCCATAATCTTTGTGCTTTTTGTCTGTTTTTGATATTCCAAAGATTCCAACCTCCTTGATCCATAGGATAATTTTCTCTTTTAGAGCTCATTAATTTGAAGTCTTTAAAACCATTTGGACTTTTATTGTTAGGTGCTGGTACGAACAATCTGCCATTTTATTGATTTCTTTAATTCCATCATCATTGTGATAATCTTCGAATCCGAGATATCTAACAATCATTGAATTCTTCAATATATGTGTGGTCCTCTGATTCGTGTGTGATTCGGAAAACCTGTGACCACTTTGCTATCATTGCTCCCCCTATTGCTCATCTATCAGCCCGCGATATTCTTTTTTTTTTTTTTTTTTTTTTTTTTAAAAGTTAATGTAAGGTACTAAGATCAAATAATTAAATAAAATAAAATTTATATGAAATGTTTATGTTTTTGTAAAATTCGAAAACTAAAAAGTTTTTATTATTTTTATTTTTTTTATTTTTTTTTAAAAAATTATTTTTTTTAAAATTTCTTTTTGATGAATTAAAAATAATTGTTAATTATTATTAATTAATGTTGATTATTATTGAGTAATGATCCTTGTTCATTACATTAAGATAAGCCCGTGATATTAACATTTAAATTCTCCGGAAAGATATTTTAAAAGTTAAATAATGGTTCTACTGAGACTCGAACTCAGATTACGGGATTCAAAGTCCCGGGTGCTAACCAATTACACTATAAAACCCTGATTGATTTTGAATAAAATTATTGCCCCACGTGGTAATCAATTTTAATTCTGTTTTAACGTGCACCAATTAATTCATATTAAATAATCATTTATTATTTTACAGTTGTTCGCAAAAGTTTTGACCCCCTAATAAAAAACATAAGAAAAAAATTTTAATTTTAATCATATCTTAGGTTTTTGACTATAAATCCATTTTAAAAATATTTATAGATAAACTTATACGGTTTTTTTAAATTTTTTTTGTTAAATAAAATTTTAAAATTTATTTTTTTTATAGCGCCCATATAAAATGGGGTCTAAATTTTTGAGAAGATAATTCAATTTTATTATAATTTTTTATTTTTATTTTAATTTTTTTTAAAAAACAAATAGGACAGTATATTCATAAAAAATAGAAAAAAAAAACAATAATGACCCTTTTTTTAGAGTTAATAAAAATGATTTTAAAAATTTATAGAAAAGGAAAAAGTCATCAAAAAGTTAAAGATATATTGAGTGTGGTAGGTCCACAGTTAAGAGAATTTTTAAAAAAAAATCTAGAAAAAGGTACAATTGAAGAAAATACAATACCTGACATAATAAGAAAGATGGACAACCGAATTGAAAGACATTGTAGAAAATAAATTTGAAATGGGAAATGTCATAATTTAAGTAATATAACAAGATATCTTAGAAAAAACTTTCAAAAAAATGTTTGAATAAGTTCAAATAGTAGGTCTCTACAACATAATAATGTTTTTTTTAAAAGTTTAAAATGTAAATACTTTCCAACTGAAAAATATATGTCTCAAAGCTAAGGTGGGTAAAAAAGTGCTAAAATTGGGCAGTTGAAAATTGGGAAAAGGATAATATTTGCTGATGAAACCAGAATTGAAGGATTCTCTTATTAATTGAAAACTAAAAAATGGATTCATGGTACAAGAAACCTTAAACAAAACATTTTAGCCAAACGAAGATGAGGTGGCAGCTCAATATATATATGATGTTGTTGCACAGCTCTTGGTGCAGGTCGTATATATATTATCAGGTTTAACACAAATTCTGCAAAATATTTAAAAATATTAATACAGGGTTATAGAAGAACTTTACGAGAGAAATGAATTTTATCTGGTCATATGTTTCTTTTACAAGACAATTGCTCTATTCATATGACCTAAGTATTGGCCGATTTTTAAGAAAAAATGTACATTAGGGTGATATTTATTCTACCCTGTTTACCAGATCTTAATATTATGGAGAATATATGGTCAATAGTTAAACGATGTATAAAATTGATTTCTATTGGGTACCCACGTCATAATTTCAATCTATTAATTTGTTGAATTTTAAAGAATATTCATCAGGATATATTTGATAATCTTTATGAATCAACCTCAATAAAAATACAACAAATAAATAAGAACTAAGGTGAATTCACAAAATATTAAGAAACAAAACATTAAAAAAAAAATTTTGTTTAAAAAATAAATTATATATTAAAATTTAAATAATCTTTTTAAAAATAATGAACCCATTTTTTTATATGCAAAAAAAAAAAAAAAAAAAAAATTTCAAAAAAAAAATTTTTATTTTATTTTTTTTTTATAAAAAAATATAATTCAGATGTTCTAAAATTTATTTTTTATTTTTTAGAATAATTGGAATTAAAATTATTGAAGATAAATAAAAATAAAAAAATTTTAAAAAAGGGGGTCAAAAATTTTGCCAAGAACTGTAATTACGTATTTAATTAATATTAAAGTTTAACTGAATAGTTTACAAACTACACTATAATCGTTAGAGATTTATTTCACTATTAAAAAACCTATTTTTATACTATCCTTCGGTAAAGATAATATAAAAAAAATAAAAAAAAAAATAAAAAATAAAATAAAATAAAAAGAGAGTATTTTTAAAAAATACATTATTTTTTATATATTTACTGTTTAATCGATAAAATAAATATAAAAAATAGAGGATTTACACAATAATTAGTTGTATTGATCATACTAGGCCAAAACAATTTTTGAAAATACTGCAGTACATTATAACATTTTGGAGACAGCTCATCAGAATCTGTTTTTTCTCGCTTTGCGTTTATTTTAAATTTTTGGGAAGAGAATCAGGTTATTTATCTCTTCATTTATTAGTTAATTTTTATACGTTATATATATATTATAATGACCGATTATACCAAAAAATTAATTAAAACTATAAAAATTATAAAAATAATTGTTAATATCTTTAAAACAAAACCCATTTCATAAGAGTTGTTTAAAGATAATAAAAATTTACATTTTTTTTTTAGTCTATTATAAAAAATAATGAGAATAATAAAAATTGATTTTATAAAAATATTTAAATATCATTTTTTGATATAAAGAATGATATTTTCTTTATTTAAAACTATTTACATTGAATTTATTTTAACCTATAATACTGTTTTATGTTACTATTGTTTTATTGTTATTGTTATTGTTATTGTTATTGTTATTGTTATTGTTATTGTTATTGCCACCATTATTATAATTAATTATTAATTTTATTTCTATTTAAAATTAAAAAAACTATTATTTAATCATCAAATAATGATCGATTATTTTGTTTTTGTGAATAATTATTTAAAGAAAAGTCTATATTTAGAGTCATCTTTGAGAATTCGTAAAGATAGGTTACCAAATAGATAAAAATACAACTTGCTGATATAATTTCGAATAATGCTGAAATATTTTGAAGTAATGGACCTTTAAAAAATTGTAAAGTAACATCTAAATATTATAATATAAAATGAAAATATTAATAAAACTATCCTTTGTTTTTTTTTTTGTTTTTTTTATTATAAAACCTACATATAAAAAATAAAGAGCAAACACAACAAAGAACTACTCTAATAATAAAGATTTTTGATGGAATATTTGATGTTTTTTTGTCTAAAATTGTTTGAGTAACTATATATGTAAATCCACATAAAAAAAAGAGAGCTGCAAAAATAAGATGTGGGTCCATTGCATTTTTATATTGGAATGATGCAACCCCATTCATCGAAAATGCACTAACTATTCCAATTATGTGAAATTTATTAAAATAATCCCCTTCTACTTTGGATATTTTTTAAACTATTTAATAATGCTGAAATGTTGTTTTTTACCACTAAATTTCTAACCAAAACTATTAATACCATCAAAAAAGATGCAATAGATAAACCGTATGACCCAATACAACTTTCTATTTTATTATATAAATAATTAGTTACTATAGAAAAATCTATCTATTTATATAAAAATAATTACCTGGTGCATTATTTATTGATGATGAAATAAAGGGAATGATTTGTTTATCATGGTGGAGCTTTTCGGGGATGGTATATGTTGTTATTAAAGTAATTGGCACTATAGTTGCCACTGTATATATTAAAAAACTTGGACGTATCATTGAGGTCATTTTTTATTTTTGTTATTTTCGTATCCTGTAATAAAAAAAAAAAAAAAAAAAAAAAAAAAAAAATTAAAAAATAATGATGATAAAGATAAATTTTAAAAATTTTAAAAAAAATAAAAAAAATATCATTTGACCAGGTCAAGTGTAAATTTAAAAAAAAACTAATAAAATAAGATTATAATATCAATAGATTTTTGGTGAATTACAGAAAAAAACAGATAATTAAAAAAAAAAAATAAAAAAAGAAATATAAAAAAATGATTAAAAAAAAGCAATAAAAGATAAAATAAATGGTTGGTAGTAAAATTATTTAAATAAATATTTTTTTAAAATTTTTTTATACAATTTCTTTTTTTTATTATCACTTTTTTTTTAAAAAAAATATTATGAATTAATTGTTTAATTATTTCTTTTTTCTTTTTTTCTTTTATATTACTATATGCTAACCCTAATATATGAAAAAGAAAAAAAGTGAGTATGATGTTTAAAAAAAAATTTTAAAAATATATTTTTTTTTTCGTTAAAAATTAAAATTACAAACATTTTAAAAATATAGCTGTATTATATTATATATAAATAAAATAAAATTAATGGTGTGGTTGGGTTTTGTGGTGGTTGATTTTATCGTGACGAACGATGAATGAGAATAAAGTGAGACCGGCCATAGTGTGAATTAATAAACTGAATGGTTTTTTCATAACATATTGTTGATAACAGTTGAATAATTTGCCAATAGCTTGTTTGTTAGCATTAGCTTTGGTGTTGCTGAGGAATTCGGTGAATTTAATATCTTGTGACATTATGTGTTGTTTTTAATTATTTGTATAAAAAAAAATTATGAAAAAAAATTAAAAAAAAAATAAAAAAAAAAATAAAAAAAAAAAAAATTGAAAAAAAATTAAAAAAATAAATAAAATTCGAAAAAAAAATTTTAAAAAAAAAATAAATATTTATGAAGTTTCTAAAACTTTTTTGTGTGGTTCATCACAAAAAAGGAAATTTATTTAGTATAATTCCAATAATTTTAATTTTTTATGATTGTTTGATAGTTTTGATAGAATGGATTCTTCAGATAGTTTGACTTGAATATAGGCATTTGATATTTCTTTACCCAAAGAGTTGCAAAGGTAATCATTTGATTTTAAATAGTTGATCGCATCTGTTATGGTGGATGGTATGAATGAAATTTTCATTTCTTTACATTCTTTATCTGATAAAGTCGATGGATTTAATGATGTTGGTTTTGGAGGTGTAGTGTGTTTGTTGATGCCATCAAGACCAGAGTAAATGATTGCAGAGATTGCCAAATAGGGATTTGAGGAGTGATCAATAGTTTTAACTTCAAAATTAGTGCATGATCTTGAAAATGGACTTGAGGGGACCCTAACAAATGCCTCTTTATTATCTAGGCCCCAGGCTATTGAGCAGCCACTCCAACAAAATGGTTTCAATCGTTCATAGCTATTTGATGTTGCATTGAATAGAGCAGTTAGTGAATGAGCATGTTCTAATATTCCGCCAATAAAGTTTTGGGTTAATAGGCCTACACCACACTCACTATTGGGGTCTGGTGTAATGTTAGTGTCATCATTTGCATTCCAGAGTGATAAGTGTGCATGACACCCATTACCAGCTTGATAGTCGTAAAGTTTTGGAATAAAAGTTGCAATATAGCCATTTAAAGATGCTACAGAGTGAACAGTTTGACGGAATATAATATGTCTATCACATGCTGTTAATATATCACTATAGTCAACAGTGATTTCAAATTGACCTGGACCACTTTCAGACAACATTTGCTCCACTGGTATACTTTGTTTTGAAAGGTTATCTAAAATTTCATTTAAAATGGCACTATGGCTATCTAGAGAATGAAAGCTTGCAAATGTATTCCTGTCTACCTGACTGGACTCATTAAGCATCTTTTCCAATTCTTGATCCTCGTTGGTAGTTGACGATAATTTATCATTCTTTTTAATTAAATAGAACTCTTCTTCAAATGAACCCTTTAGCGATAATGATGCAGTGATTAATAGTTCTTTAATAGCTTTTTTTAAACATTCTCTTGGACATAGTTTCCAAGGCTCTAAATCTCCTGTTGTTTTATTGACCTTATAGAATGAACCAAATACCTGAGCATGTGATTTATTGTATGGTAGTATGGTAATAGTCGATACATCAGGTATCAAATAAACTTCACCAAAAATAACATTACCATCTGGTAAAGCATCTTTAACAATACTATCCTGAAATGCCATAAATGACATACATGTATCTGTTACTGTTACATGGATTGCCTCTGGTTTATGCTTTAATATCCATTCTACACTTAAAGATTTGCATCTAATTTTATTACCAACATCAACCCAACAGATTCTTAAAAATTTTAATGTTTCTTTATTTTGATTTAAAAAATTGTATAGTTTTTCATTATCTTTTAAAAAAGTATTATTATTATGATTATTATTGTTATTGTTATTGTTCATTATCATTTTATTGTTTTATTGGTTTTAAATATAAATTTTTTATATTGAAAGGTTTTTGCAAAATTTAATATTAAATTTATATAAAAAAAATTAACCCCTTTTTTTTTTTTTTTGTAAATAAATTTTTATTAAAAAAAATTATTTTTATCTGTATGGTTTATTTGTATATATAGCAAAATAAAATTATTATTTAATTATTTCAAAATTTCAAATAAAAAGAAAGCAAAGATAATTGGAAAATCATTTTAGAAAATAAAAAAATATGAAATTGTGAAATAGAGGAATAAGAAAGAGGAATGAATAAAAAAAAAAAAATTATTTTTTGATTGTATTGTTTTTTGATTATAACGTTAAACCAAAATAATGGTGAAGTTGTTTGTTGCCATTATGATTATTTTATATTATTTAGAAATAAAAAAATCCGTTATAAGTTAAAGTGTTATATAAAATTGTTTTTTTACAAATTTTTAAAAAAAAAAAAAAAAAAAATTTTAAAAAAGAGGAAAAATAATTTAAAAAAAATTTAAAAGGGGTTAAAAAATCATTATCTTAAATTTTTTTTTTTACACCAAAGTTTTCTAAATATACTTTGTTTCTGCATATATTGATATTATTAAAATAAATAATTAAATTATTTAAAAATTAAAAAATTAAATTAAATTAAATTTTTTTTTTTTTTTTGTTTTTTTTATTTAATAAAATAATTAAATTGATTATTTATTTTTATTTATATATTCTGAAACAAAGGTGTTAGCATGCATTTGTTTTATTTGTATATACCCAATAATTATTTTATCCCTTCGTTTTAACACTCAAATCAAAAAAAAAAAAAAAAAAAAAAAAAGTAAAGAGGTAATTATTAATAATAATAAACAATCTTTTATATAATAACAAATTATTTAATTATATTATTTTTTATTTTTTTATTTCTTAACTAATTAGAATCATATCATCACATACGCACATACACCCACATAAACACCCACACATTATATTTAAAAAATAATAAAAAAAAAAAAATGTAGAATATAGAGGTATGTTGGAGTATCTTTATATACATGTATTGTGTTAATAGTTTCAAACTCACATATATAATTTTATTTAAAAATAATATACAAAATTATTATCAAAATTTTTCAAATAAATAATACAAAAATAATAATAATCAACATTGAATTCCAAAAAGTAAAGCAAATTAAAGAATAAAATAATAATAAAATAAAAATAGATAAAAAAAAAAAAAAAAAAAAAAAAAAAAAGTTAAACGATATTTTTTTAAAAACACACAACCACACATTCGCTCCAGTAATTTTATATTTTAAAAACTAATTATAAAATTAATAATACAATTAATAATATTATTGTTGTTTATTATTCTATTTAAAAATCATATTTAAAATTTTGATTCAATAACAAGAACACAACAAAAAATAAATATTAAAATTATAAACCCAACACAATAGAATAGAATAAAATAAATTGAATAATAAAATAAACCCAAAATATTAACACAGAAACACACATAATAAATACAATAAACAAAACACAAAACAAAACAAAACACAAAAAAAATAAATAATCATAATAAAATTTTATTATTATCATTAATTAACACTATAATTAATTTATTAATAAAATATAGAATAATATTTTTCCTGCTATATA